CTTTTTTTGGTGTATCACTTGGTAAAACTTCTAAAGCTGCTAATGAAGATATGAGAGCTGATTTAAAAGGTTCATCAACACAAAAGATTGATTGTTTAGGATTAATATTTTCATGTGTCGGAAAATCAGACAATTGCTTTGGAGGATTAGAAAGAACAGTTGCTAATGTTTTTTTAAGTAAATCAACTGATGGTATATACTTATAAAGTAATGAAGGTGGACATACAGTACAAACAACTGATAAATATCTATAAGCAGCTGAACGTAAACTTTCTGGAGCTTTTTTAAGACAAATAATAGAAGAAGCAATTGGAAGTGAGATAAACATTAAAGAAACTAATTTATCTGCAGGTAAAGGTAAACGTAAACAAGACTCAGCAATTTTTAATAATGGAGATGGTAAATGAATTAATTCATTTAAATCAGTTAATGAAGAAATATATTCAGATAAATAAAAGAATGGAACTTCACAATTTGGATTATTCATATAAATTTTTGTAAAAAATTCTGCATTTTTTTCATTTAATGAAGAAACAATTTCTAAAGAATATAAAGAATATAAACCATCTAAAATAATAACGTATGGCTCAACTTCAATTTGATCATCAATAGTAAGATATTGAACAATTTTTTTAAAACATTTTCCAACAATAAAAATAAATGTTTGTTGATACTCAGCAATAGAGAAATTAGAAATAGTATTTTGTTCTTTAAATAATGGGTCAATATATGATTTAATTTTATAACACACTTTTTTAAAAAGAATTGCAATATCTTCAATATTTTTTCCTTTTTCAATATATTCATAAAATGTTGTAAATGTTTCTTCTGTAACATATTTATCAAAAAATAATAAGAAGTCATCATATATTGATAATATTTTATTTGTTTCATTTGAATTAATTTCAAATGCACGTTTTAATAAATATCTAACACTTTTTTTAACAATATAAATTTGTTTAATACTATCAGGTTTATTATTTGATTGAATTTTTGATAATATTCTTTTCATTGTATCAGTTAATGAAGGAATATTAAGTCCTAATTTATTATATGTTTGTTTTTCATCATCACTATTACACATAATTGTATAATGAACACATTGTTTAAAAAATTCATATATTAATTGATCCATTAAACCATCTTCATTTTGAAATGTCTCTGTTACAGTGAGTAACATATCAACCATTGGCTTTAAAAATTCAAATGCATTTTCAATAATTCTTGGCGTATTTCTCGATGTTGTATTCCAAAAGAAATGTTTAATATTTTCTGAAGGATTAGGAAGGAATATAATAAGTTTAGTAATCACAGTAAAATGTCTCATTAATAATGTGAATTGTTTAATTGTAAAAGCTGATTGTCTTTTAACCTCTGATGAAACATTTTTATTAGGACAAATATTATCAAATACTTGTTTAATAAATTTAATTGCATGAATCATATTATGAATACCTAGTCTATGTGATGTTATTATTCTCCATGAAATATTAAATAAATTAATAATTGCACTTGTTGTGAGTGCTTTTGGATATGACTTAGCAACCATTTCCAATACTTTATTAAATACAACTAATAATCTTGAATTAGGTTGAATATCAATATTTTTTAATGACTCTTCTGCTTTTTCTAATATTGAACCAATTTCAATTAGTGTATTTACTCCATCTTGAAATAAATCTCTGGGAAGAGTAAATGAATCATTTGCTAAACAAAGAAACCTTTGATGAACAGTTCTAACCATTTCAGAACGACTTTCATTTTTTGAATTTGCTCTAATATAAATCAATGCAAATTTACAAAATGCTTGATATAATTGAATAAGAACTTTAAAATTATTAGTTGAAAGAGGAGGAAGAGGATTTTTAAAAACTAATACAGTTGATTCAATAACATCAGAAAATGTTTGTAATAATGAAGGATTTTGATCTACAATAGTACAAATAAGTTTTGATATTTCAAATAATACATCTGCTTTATATGGGTATAAAACCATACGATAAAATGTTTCTTGATTTGGAATATTATTAATTTCTTTACCAACATAATTATTTAATTTATTAATAATAAGTGTTGTTAATGTTTTTTCAATATCTAATGTTTTAGTTTGTTCTGGAAAAAGTGATACAATTTCATTAATAAGTGAAACAGTTACTAATTCTACTCTTTCTTTTCCACATTCAAACATATGAGTTGCGATTGTTATAATTTTATCTAATCTATCTTTAGATAATATTTTATATAAAAAATTAAATAACTTTTCTACACAATTATTTCTCCAATGTTGATCTTTTAATGGACATTCTTCAAAGAATAAAATTCCATTAAAAATATATGGATAAATAGATTTGGCAAATTCGGCTGGTATCTCATTTTCGGTATAAAACACCATTTCTAATTTATCAATTATTAATGAAACTTTATCCATTTGTGCTTCATTCTTTTTTATTTCTTCTGGTGTTTTTCCTGTAAAATTTTCTTTTGTGATTGTTTCGAGAATTTCACTTTGGAGTTGCCTTAATGACTGTGGAATCATTTCTACTTTTTTTAGTTTTTTTTAATAGAAAAAACACAAAATTATTTATTAAAAATAATGTTTTTCATTAAATTTTTATTATTCAATTTTAAAGAACGATAACAATAACTCTTTTTATTATAACGATTTATTACTTACTGTTTTTTTTGTATTTTGTAACTTTTTTTTTTTGAAATAATCCTTTTTTTAAGTGGAATAAAAGACAGGCTATGACGTGTTTTAGTACTTTGATCTTCTTATCTACAACTATTTTCTTTATTATTCTAAGATAATACCTTACGTTCTTACACTCCAGTAAAAAAATAGTTATTCAAAATAGTTTTACGTTGATTAAGTCAATCAAAAGGATATGTCCTGACAAAAAATTAAATCATCAAAAACAACAAACTTATTTATAAAAATAATTAGAAAAGTTAGATGAACTTAGATTGAATCATATCATCTATGCAAACAACTAAAGATGTAAAAACCCCTAAAGGACTAACAAAAGATAAACAACGAATCCGTTATAAGGAATACCAATGCACATATCCTGGATGTAATGAAGGATTAAAAACTAAATATAATTGTATTTCACATATATGGGATATTCATTTAAGATATCTTAATGGATCAAAAGAATCATTTAAATCAATTGAAAGTAAAGAAAAAATTAAAAGATTGTGTATTCCCTTTCTAAAGTATGTCACAAATGCAGAAAGTGAAAGAAAAAGAAGACCATATGACATGGGTGATTTAACTAATGGAGACATTGCAGAACAACAAACAATGATTACACCAACACCTTCAGTTATTCCACAATTTATTATTACTAATAAGATTACTCCCCCTCAAAGCATTTCCCCTCAAACATTAAGTGGTATTTCACCAGATTTTATGATGACAACAAGCCCAAACCAAATATCTAAAACCAATTCAAATTCTCAACAAAATTCAAGTTCAATGGAAACAAATAGAACAATGACTATGTATACTACAAATCCAATTGGAACAGATGAAATCAATTATATTTTAACACCTGAAATGCAACAACAAATTCAAACTGCACAAACAATTAATGCAGATATCGGTCAAACAAATCAAATTCCACAACAAATTAGTTTAAGTCCTATTGCTTATCAATTATTAACAAACAATGAAGAATTTATTAGAGTTTATATGATTAATCAAAATATTAAACGTCTTCATGTTGCTGGGGAAGTATTTGCTGAAAATGGATTTTTACAACGTTCAGACAGAAGAAGTAAAAAAGATATTAAGAAAATTTCTGATGCACTTAGTACTATATTAATGATTACTGGTAAATCATATAAATACTTAAATGATGATAAAACTCGATTTGGCTTTATTGCACAAGAATTAAAAGAAGTCATTCCTGAGGCTGTTAGGGAAGATGAAGATGGTTCACTATCTATTGATCCATTAGCTTTATTACCATTTATTGTTGAGTCATTAAAACAACTCTCATTTCAATTAAATAATCTTGAACATAAAACAGAAAGAAGTAAACAATTTTGTAAAAATGTTAACCTGACTTTAGATGTTATTAATCAAGTAAAAAACAAAGAAGAGCGAAATATCTCTTTAGGTCCAACTGAATTTGTATTTCCAACAGCAATATTCTTTACTATTACTTCATGCATTTTATCGTTAGATGGAAGGTTCCCATTTATATGGACATATTCTACATTATTAGCAACTATTTATTGGATTTCAAATAAATTTTGTTCAAATGGAAAGTGGGACGGTATTTCGGTTAGTCTTAATTTTGGATTAATAAACCTTGGACTAGTGTCTGTGGCAATAACTTTTCTTATGGGTTCTGTACTTCAAATATTCCTTGGGGTATATATTTGTATAATGTTATTTGTTTGGGGTGGAAGTCAAAATATTAAAGCTTCATTTGTGAATCTCTTTATTGTATCATTTGCACTTTCATGTATTGCATGTTGGATTGTATTTATTTTCCAACCAACATTTAAACCAACAGTATCTACATTAATGCAAAGAAATCCAGACTTTCCTGACTATGTTCAATTTACAGACCCTAAACAAGTTCAGTTCCAATTAACATCAGAAGTTCCTTGGAATTGTCTAGACCCTCACCTAGTTGCTAAAGGAAAAAGAATGCAATTTAAACGAGGGGATACTCCTTTGATTACTTATGCTGAAAATGCTGAAGAAGCAAGGGGGGATAAAGTTCAAGTTAAACTTTCATGTTCATCAATAGAGTATCAATGTGATGAATTTAACGTTGCACAAGATCACCAAAATGTATGTTTATTTGTAGAAGACAATGACCAAAACGAATCAACAACGAATTAAATAAATATGTATTTCAAATCATTAATTTTCATTATTTTCTATTGTTAAATAAAATAGTTTTAATTTTATAATAAGTCATAAAATAGATATATAAAAACCCTTGAAATAAAACTTAAAAAATATATATCAATTTTAGGTTATGGAATCATTTGTTGTAACTAAAACAGGACATCATATGGATATTCCTGATGGTTCATATGTTAAATTATTAAATTTTGCATATAAAGGAAATAAACCATCAAGTGTTGTTTTAAAAGTTTATAATGAAAAAGAAGAAGAATTACGAGCTATCTTATGTACACTTACTCCAGAACATCCTCAATATTTTGCTGAGATTATTGTAGCAGGCCCATCTGCTGATTTTGAATTAATTGGAGATGATGAAATTACTGTTTATATGGATATTGATTTTGATGATATAACAAAGTTTGAGGATGATGATGACATGACATTTGATGACATGGAGGATGATGAAGAGGAAGAAGATGAGTCTCCAAAGAAAGAAGTTCTTAAAAAAGAGGAAAAGAAACCTCAACCACCTAAACAAGAAAAGAAACCTCAACCAAAGAAAGAAAGTAAGCAACAACAACCACAAAAGAAACAATTACAAGAAAATAAAAAGAAGAATAAAAACCATGGAAAAAAACAACACTAAACCTGAATGAAAAATGACTCATTTTTTGTTAAATTTTTTTTGTCATAGGTAGATAAAGAAATATCAAATTTAAAAAAATTGTTATAATAGTCAAAAATAATAAAAAAAGGTCAATTAATAGATATA